GATAAAGATCAAAATTCTGTGCTACATGGGGAACTTAAGGCATATTTTCCTGCAAAACCGTTAGTTTTGAAAAATTGTCAATTTTACGCGGAACACAAAATAAATTCGATCAAAATATCCAAAATATATAATTATAAATCATTATTCATTCAAGTTTATAACTCACGCATGTACTCATATGAGCCATTTACCCAGTAATAGAAAGTTTCCCTGAAAGTAATTTTAATGTACAGCGATATAAATATTAAATGGCACAGTAATCCTCCAAGACCAGATTTTACGACTTATTGTAACGCCATGTTGCTCGTAGATGCAAGGAGGAGGGCATTTAAACGAACCAGTGATACACGGTAATTGAGCAAATGCAGTGCCAGATGTATCTCGCAATCTTTGTTCTGTTTGCTCCACAGAGCACTCATTATGCGCAATCCTTCAGTAGTTGGCACTCTTCATACGCCACCTGCTAAACATGCAAATACTTTTGTATGTCGAGAATGTTAAATGGCGCATAAAATTTCGGAAGTAAAAAAATGTTTATGTTTCTGCGGTCGATATGAATAGCCATTATATATTAATAATATTCATTATGAACATCGTAACTTTGCACAGACACCTTTACAAGCGATAGTCCTTATAGCCCATGCTTCTCATAGATATTTCATGTACAATTTGCCAGATGTTTTGTATTGCATCGGATCCATATTGTATGAATAGAACTCATAAATAATTTATACGATAAATTGTTTTTCATTTTTCAGTAGTATGACAGTTATGCTGCATATGGATCCAATGTGATGCCTAGGCTTTAACGACTAGTTTCTGTAACGCAGAAATGTAAATATATAATATAATGATTTTGAAGAACACGGTGCAGAATGTGCGGAGTTGAGCAGGTTTAGTCAGGTAGGCAAGAAAAGCTGGACAGACTCAATAGGCCCCTGAAAGAAAGAAAAAAATTGCTGAGAACGATACGCAAGGCACTCAACGCGGAAACACTAACGAAGAACCTCCCGTTATTCAAAATTAAAATAAATAACCGACTCTATGTTGTTTCCTGAATACAAGAACAAGAAACAGCACAAGCAGTATACAATAACGCAATATGTCAGTTATAACGAGTGATAACGAATGCGGTTACAGAAACTGCCGGAGAGAAACAACAGACAGAGTTCATGGAGTCTACGAATAACTTATCAGAGACCAGATTACACGCGCACTACACTGCCTCCTAGTTCCTAGGCTCTATCGGCACAGAGCGTCGTGAAGTCTGGCATTAGATAAGTTATTTGCCCGTCAACACAGCGGAGTTTGTGGACTAATGTTTATGATAAGAAGATGTGCACAGCCAGGCAATAAAATCAGTGTTGCCATCGCCAGAGGCTATAGTTTGCGACACAAGGGATTACTGTCCAATAACACTTCCAACGGTAGCTCATCAAAGCTCCATCACAGACCGACAGAATGGGCTTCCTAAGAAGCTAGGAGCAAAACACAGTATGAACACACCGTGTAAATCAAGAGAACAGACCAAAGGTGAAAAACTGACAATTTACAGTGTGACTGGGAATGCTGTGGTTTATTTTTGTATATGATACTGTCTGGCTGATGTAGTTCCATGGAGCCAGAATGAATGACAATCACCTGGAAGTTATGAAGGATCGACAATTCGTAAGGCTGGGAAACAACCGCAGCTTGCCCTTATAACGGTTTATCAATATCGTTACATTACCGGCACTGATTAAAACTATTTCCCCTAATTTCAGATGCTTCCTAGCGAATTAAAACAAAATAGCATAGTTATTGTTTTTTATAATCTACCGCAGGCGTCGCCTTGCAAAGAGGGAGGAAAGATTACAGTACACGATCACATGACCGAGCAAACGATAGGGCAATAGAAACCTCACAACCGAAACGGTGACTGTCACGGTTTGTCGTGGATCTCAAAATGATTGGGTAAAGCTTAAATGAAAGCCGCGATTGACAGAGTCCTTTGTCAAGTTTTCCTAGCAGTCCTTTTCAAATACAGCACTCTGATTATAATTCAGGACGAAAGTATTGGGAAACAGTGCCTGCACTGATCTCAAATGAAAACACCATAAATATTTTTTTATTTCATCATATCTTACATTCTTTAAAATGATAAACGCCGATGACTCATATACTAAATGGATGGCAGGTACGGACGATGACTGAAGTATGCCTCCGGGGAAAGGGAAGCCTACTGATCTTCAGTTCACTTCGATGGTCAAGATTTGGGAAATTCGGCATAACAGCGTTGCTCAATCGAGATCATTCATGGCACCATTTCATAACATGCGAAGGACTCTAAGGTTATAGTTGGAACAAAACACTTTTGCATGTCGTCGCAAGTAAAACACTCAATTAATCCGTTACTGCAACAGCCAGTACAAAGCTCTTATCGGACCGCAACTAAATAAAGGCAGTGTTGGAGAAACAGACGAGTGGGATATTGCAAGATTGGTTCACTCACTGGTTGAAACCGTGAGAAAAGCGTTTTTAAACGGGTAACAAATATGGATGTGCCATTCTGACCCGTTATTTCATATCACTTTTATTCAAGAACTGAACAACACAGTCTTTTGGAGAATGAATCCTCAAACATGCCTGCCTTCCCGGTGTATTGTACTGTTTTCTAGCTTTTTAAAGTGCCGTTAGAGTGCCATTTCGACTCGCTAAGGCTCCATGGTTTCGGAACACCTCCAGTGCCAGATGTACCTCACATC